TTCGACCTTAAATTCTCATATTTTTGTATAATGCGATTTTTCCAGCTGACCTTCGGTTGTAATTGGACGCAGGCAATCAGAAATGGTGATTTTGATAAATAGACTTTGGAAATGTATGCACTGATTTTACAAAAATTGTATGAGCCACAATGGTTATCTCCATTTTACGTACTCATTTACACTTACAGTTTGTAAGTTTATTACAGTTTGTAATTTTACTTATTCGAATATATTCTATTCAGAGAGCTTAGTACTGGCTAGTGAATCTTTAGCACTTATACTGAAAGTATTGGTTTACAATACTGTGAGAAATATGCAGTATGTATGAGTAACGTAAGATGCTTTTATTTATATAGAAACGATAGAGATGCCTCAACAGCGAGCGTTTGTATATGCTGTATACATTATATATCTGTACGTGCTCTGTGCGAGTGTGCAGCCAATGTCTGTGGAGCTATGTACTAATAACGGACCGTCTCTCTTGCTGCATTGTTTACTACATATCCATCTTATATGCATCAAACTCGAAACGTCTCTTGCGCATAATGCTCAAAGAGGATATCCTAAGCATATAGATATGGAATATTTCTGCGATAGCTCGCTTGTGCATGAATATAATGTCCATTTCGGTTCGATGCTGTGGCTGGCTGCTGCTGTTGCATCGTGAAAGCTGCGTATGTAGGAGCGACTCTATAGTAGGGCATCCGTAATCGGCTCTACAGCCTCTATACATACTCACATGCACGAGGCTTTGAGCGCAGCATACAAAGCGCGTGTGTAGGCTATGCGGATTAAATGCTTGGATTATCATTTCCTCTTTTATGAAATCAGAGCCAAGGATATTACTTGCTCTTGAGCCTCCGTCATACTGTCATTAGTGGGCCTTTCTTCGTTTTTTTTTGTTGTTTCTTTTTTGCTCGCTCTGATGATGGCACCGAAAAATGCTTGATTAGGTGGTTCGCTACAGTTAATTATTCAGAGACTATTTGCGAGAGTTCAAAGAGTTAATTTGGATTTATATGCTTCCTCGTTCTTTCCCAAGTAAAATTTCAACTTCCAAAGTCTCTTCGACGAAATACTGTAACGCGAGCGCTTTTCAAGACCATCCCTTTGTCCTTTTTGCCCGAATAATTCGAATCGTTAAAACTAGTTAAATCGAATTCAGCCAAGCCTCCTACCTCCTGCGAAGCCCGTGTCAAATATAATTATGCTCTTCGTTTTGCAATGGAATAATAACAATTCGGCATATTCATTGATATTCATTGAGATTTTAATATTTGGAATCGATCCAAACCGCAATTTAGACGGTTGTATGTGCGAGAGTAAGTGTGTAATATAGTTCAACAAGTGCTGCAAGAAATTTATAACACTTTACACGCACATACAACTGCGCTTGGTTTTTCTTACTTTGATTAATATATAAGATCCATTTGTCGAAAGTCACGGTTGCTGCAGAGGATTTACGGACACACGTTTGTACATGAATATTGTGTATGTGAAGCACGTTAAACATCATCCCACGATCAGTCAAGCTTTGTGCCCGAGCGTGTGGCGATGATGGCGATGATGATGTAATCCAGCTCACACCATCAAATGTTAATTTTCCTCGGTTGCAGTTGCGCGAGAAAATCATAATCCGACGTTTTTTTCCTCCTTTATATGTACGATCCTCGTAATTGCGCGATGTCTGCCGCCTTACTGGGTGCTTCGTTTTTTTCTTGCCTCGTCTCAGCTTTAAAGTTAAAAAATATCTCTTTGAGGCCAAGTTATTTTTGCAAGTTTAAGGAACTAAATAGCTTTATGAAACCGCCCAAATCTTTTCCCACGCAAGAGGCATCCATCGACAGGCATAACCAGACCTCATCCATTTGTGCTCTATGCGCGTGTGTATACGTGGCCGCACACACACACACACACACACACACACACACACACACACACACACACACACACAAATATACGTGCATATAATCTCGAATAACACGGCTATTCGGCACGCGCATCGTTCACCATTGCCGCGCGAGCAGCGGGAGAAAGTATTATATCCTAGTTACCTGTGTGCACGCGTGCCGTACCTTGAGCTGGAGATGAAGTACAAAACTCAAACTCTCGAGCAATTGATGTGAATTACTGTTACTACCGCGTAGATCGCGCGCGAGCGCAGTTATATTTATGGCTCTCAGCTTCTGTACTTTTTTCCCATTCGATATTTTTTTTCGTCGATGAATCGTTTTTTTCTTTATTTACCTAATGATAAGTTAATGATCTCTTGAGATTGATGTTATAGAAATACAAAGGAGAAGCCTCAGCTATAAGATAAAGTAAAAATATTTAATATGAAACCCCAAAGAACAGAGCTTAGAAAGACTAACTCCGGTTCTTTTATAACAAATTATGATATCTGATTTGAATTTTTCTTCAAACGTGATGATGAAAAATCTTGAAAGGTTACTAGACTCCCAAAAATTATTGTAATGTATCATGAACAAGTCATAGACCTTTTTTTCGTCTAAGCCACATTTTTCCTATCAAAACACTCAATATTATATTTAAAGTTTTCCCAGCGATTTTCCCGGGTAAAGCAGAAAATTTCGGAAAATCTGACCTCACCATCGGAAAGCTGAGGCGATTTCCCATCAAAATCATGGGTTAGTTTTTTTCTCTAGGTGCATTTTAGTACTTTTACAGCGATTCACAAATTTAGTGATTTGACTTAATACTGCCGCGCCGCGCGGCACTGGGAGAGTTGACGTGAAATACCACATATAAGATAATGCATAGCAGAAGAGAAATGATGATGCATTATCGACAAAACCGCGAGCAGTAGCACATTTTCGACGGTTTATAACACACTTTGATGGAGTTCTATCTGAGTATTTTTATTTTTAAGGAAGAATTGCGGAAAAAATCAATTAATCAATTCATTATTTTACTTAATTTTTCTTAATTCGCTGATTTGACGCACATTTGTTGCTCCCCGATTAACATAGTGATTAAGCTTTATGTTAATTCAGGTATATTGACAAAGAAAACCAATGAAAAGTATGAATAATGGTATTGAGGAAGCTATTCTTGAAGATGATCAAGCAGCTCTTATAAATTGTGTAACGATGGGTCATACATGAGGAACAGAAGGAATGTGTATATTATCACGAACAGGAAAATGCTCAACGCGTAAAACGTTTTCGTTAAAGAGCGGCCTCTACATATTATAGGAGCGCGAGTCGTGCTCCCGACGTTAAGACTCTCATAAAGTTGTCTTGCCACTGCTACAGGCCTATGATTTGGCGAATTTTCTTCGACTGATGCGTGTATCATGGAGCAGCACCCGGAATAAGTCGATATGGCTGCTCACGCCTGCTCCCCTTCTATATGTATATACCTGGTGCATTTTTAACGCCTTGTCGCGTGCGCAGGAAGAATTACTCTCTCTCTCTCTCTTTCCATTTTATCTCTCTCTATCTCTATCTCTATTCTCTCTTTCTCTCTCTTGCTTACTCTTACTCTTACTTCATTGACTTAGATTACCAAATTGCCATCTGTTGTTTCTCTGTAGAAGTGCAATAAAGACCGCAGTACCGAGAGCTCACGCGGGAGCGAGAGAGAAAGAGAGATGGGGGGAGGGGGGAAATCTCATGTCGATGCGATAATACACGGGAATTACGTGCTTAGTTCGGCGTGTGCGAGTGCAGCAGGCCGGACGTTTTTATACCTGCAACTAACTGCTGTGCCTAGCTGTATTATACACTCGAGTGCTGCTGCTACTACTACTACTACTACCGTGTACATTAAGAACACGCGTCTACCGTACTGTATTCGTGTGTGGGCATGTATAAACGTTGCTTATTTTGCCGCACTCGTGCGCGCTTCGCTTTTTTCTGCTTTTGTTCCATCAGATTTATTAATGCACATTTCGCCCCTCCAGGATTCCGTGCGACTGCAAGCCACAAATATGAAAATTAAATTAATAAACATTCAAGCTCTTCTAGGATTTAGTTGTAAATTTTTCATTTTATTCAAATCGTACAAAAATATTTTATAAAAAATACACTCTCCTGCTACTGCCGCTGCTGTTGCCACTGTTTTTTTTCTTTTTTCTTTTTTCCGTTAAAACTTACACGTTATTCTAAAATCCCATTTTCCCGATAAGCTCGATGAAAAAAAAGCATTTACTCTTGAAATCGTTCGTACACAATATAAATATTCCACGCGCAATTTTTCCCGACTGTGGAGAATTATGAATCCTTTTCAAGTCGGAAAGATTTTCGTGGAATTGCAATCACACGTCTGCGAGCAAATGTGAACGAAAATCCATTAGCACATCATCATTGTCATGGTCAAGTAGAAAGTTATACACACTGGAGTTTATCTAGACACATACACATATTATATATATGAGAATGATGCATTATCGTGCGGTTAAAAAACATGATGCACTCGCGCAGACTCTCAGGCACACTCACGCACATATCAGGCGCACTCGATTGAAGAAAGTAATCTATTGTAGAATCTTGTATGGTACACAGGTGAAGGAGTTCGTTTTTAAAAGGCAAACCACTAGGCAAATTCAATGTCACTACGGGAACAGTATATACATGCGCGCGCGATATATATGTACCGTTAATTCCGTTTCAGCTCAATGACGTAAGTGCGATGCCAAGGCTCGAAAAGAAATGATCATCAGCAAATGGAATTACTCGCGATATGGTAAAATTGCTATTTTCAGCAGAGAGAGTCAATCATCACGTCTTACAAAGATATACACAGGCATTCGTACTCAGGCACAAACAACGCAGAGAGGCAAACACGCTCGCAACGTCACACCTATAGTAGTGGCAATACTACGTATATAGACTCGATTGAGCAGACTGGCCATGTATATATAATATATACACACGTACGCGTATATGTATATATGCAAAGTATAGTTAGTTAGGATAGATATATGTATGAGCTGAGTTGAGCTTGGCAGGACGTCGTTGTACGAGAGGGCTCGAGGCTCATTTCCTGCGGTAGGGCACGCCGTAGGTCGACTGCGGCGCCGAGGGCGGCGGAGGAGGCACTGCGTCCGCGTAGCTGCTCGTGTCCAGGGAGTTGCCCCCGTTGTATCCCGATTGGTAATTGTTGTAGCCGGAATTATAATTGTTGTACGCTCCTTGATTACCTGCAAAAGACCGTTGGAGATCATCCTGCTCTTTTGTCCACGTATTATATATGCAAGCTTGTGTATATCTTAGATATGTGCGTGAGTAATCATGAGCGTTTTGCTTACCGGCGTTGTTATATCCCGAGTCGATGTTGTTGCTCGGCGGATTGTAGTCGTATCCTCCGTTGCTGCCCTGCTGCTGATTATAGTTGTATTTGTTGTTGTTATTGTAGTTGTTATTGTTGTTGTAGTTGTTGGCGTTGAGATCGTATCCTTGATTAGCTCCTCGGCCGTATCCCTGCTCGGGGTACTGGGCGACTCCTTCGTACCTGACGTCGGCGTGGAATCCGGTGCGCCAGTCGGCCGTGTAGGTGACGATCTGGGTGCGACCGTCGGGCAGCTGAACTCGGTACTCGCCCCGCACGGTCTCACCGTCGCTCGTTTCTTTGCGTCCAAAGTCGTTGCCGGACTGGGCGTCCTTCACCGCGTACCCGAACTCGTACGATTTTGGCTGTAAAGCAACACAATGATCAAAGTTCAACCCATACAACGATGACTGTGACGAAGTACTTCGTGATGAGCTAATAAAAGTTATTATTTGAAACTAAGCCGTAGGTTGGAAGAGTGTATTATATATTATTGTGTGGATGAGTTTGGAGCACGGGCTCGTCATCGTCCTCGTCGCGCGAGCTGATACGGAAAAAAGAAAAATAGACTCTGGGTGCACTGGGCCGCGTGAGCTATCAATCATCGGTGGCCATAAATTTAAAGCACAGATTAGCATGCATATTCGTTCGTAGGAGTACCTATACATATCTGTGTGCGAGAGTATATGGGTATACTTGTATGTAGTTCGCTTCTATTTCGTGAAGTCAATCTAGTACATGTGCGGTTGTATAAACACACAGAGAGGCTGGCGTCGTTGAGCCGAGGAGGTAATTACTCTCTCGCTCTGAGCCTTTGCAAAGAAAAAGGAGCAGTGTGCATTCGGCTTTTAAACCTTTACAGCTCGCAACTAGCGATGACGTAGCCTTGGCAAATTTCAACCGCCTCCTCTCGCGCAACAAGATCTCTCTCTCTCTCTCTCTCTCTCTCGCTCGCTCGCTCACTAGCAAGAAAAGGAACAAAAAGTCTCTCGACGCAAAGTCCGCTTTTGTGCCTATGCGATTTACCTTTTTGTCTCTCAATTTTTTTACGAGTACATGTGGGTGTGTGTGTATTCTATGAGGACGTCGGCGCTGATGATCGATCGCGTGCATCCTATGAGCTCTATTTCGCCACCGAGAGTCCATAATATAATGTATACGCGCAGGCCACCCTCGGCTATGTATAAACACACGATTACATTGTCATTAAAGGTGTATATGAATAAAAGTGCTGATTCGTGACTCGAAAATATTCATCTTCGTGTGGCACGCGCCGCGGCACGAGTAAAGTCATCCCTCACTTTGGGCTCATGGGCTCTGACGTAAGCGCGCAGCTGCACGTATTATATTTGTAAGACACCGAGCTATTGTAATATACGATGCACATTTACTCGCTAGACTTTCCTCGATCTTTATGTCCCACTAAAATATCAAATCAATTCTGTTTTTTGATTTATATTGTCCGCACATTGAGAACCGAGAGATGAAATATATTAAAGTTGCCAGAGTATATCGTTGAGTATATCGGGTGAGCGTAAAAAAGAAGATCGAGCAAGAAACGCGAAAGAAAAAGAGAATTACAAAATAATCAAGCGATAGAGTGAGAGAGAAAGGGAGGTATAACAGCTCTGATCAGAGATGAGTAGATAACCGTCTGTTTGCCCATAAGTACGGTCCGTTTTATTCGCATTTGACGATGTATATAACGAACAAGGAAAAAGATAGATATACATTGGAGCAGCAGCAGTGCTAGCAACCGTAGCTTGGGCTGACGCCAATTCACATACATCGAGAGATCTATATATATTTCGTGCTCCTGATTCTAGGCAGACCCTTTTTTTTCTTTTTGTTACTTCCTGGCGTTTCCACTGCTTCTTCATTAAAAGTTCGAGAGAGAGAAAGATCGACTCGGCCCATACACCGATAGTAATTGAAATTGTTTGTTCATACATCGAACCTTTAATACATTTCCGATTTTTCCCTGGCTGCAATACCGGCTGCGTTGCAATAATTAAGTAAAAAAAGTCTGCTCTTCGCATATCGCGAAATATATATTATTATTACGTGCGACGCATACATGCATGCGTCGCGCGAGGGAATTCCCATCAACGAGATATAAAACGCAACAAGAGAAGGTGCTCAGTCTGGGGCACGAGGCGCAACAATATAAGCGTATGTTTTCATCTAAATTCGGTAAACAATGCGCCGCGCGTCGCAGTTCAGCGCGCAGTGTGCTGCTCGTGCGGCGGGAATATGGGTTAAGTGACGATGAGGCTTGTGCCGTCGTGAGTACTCGTGTTCGCTTCAGCGCCCGTCCATGGATGTGTGCTGTGCGTCTGTGTATGTGTAACAAGTCGCGAAAAGCGTGAAAAACTCATGCCACAAATGGCCGATTCCCATCGTATAATACCCATGGCAATCTGCGCTACACGTGTATACTTTATACGTTATATATACGCGAGAGAGAGAGAGCACGCGCAAAACGAATGTTAATGACTCGCGCCTCTGCGATCGAGTTGCTTGCTCAACAGGACTATATGTGCGACTCTTTCGACATATCTTCGCAACTCCTTTCTCTCTCTCACGCGCGCGCATATACAGCCCGAAAATGTACATCGTGCGCTCTTAGAATCCTACCCACGCATAAATCCGAAAGAATTTTGGTCCTTTTCGCTGCCAAATAATTTACTTTTGTAATATACGCAAGCACTCGCAGCTTCCATAATTCTATTTGGTTTTGAGTAACCGATCAGCGATATAACTTTCTTCACTATTCGCGTATAATGTACCAACGTTTGTTTACAGCCGAGTATAATACGTTCGTAGAAATTGAGTTGTACGCAATGCTATTTACTCGTTTGTAAAGTTTTGCACGTGAACTCTACACACGTACAATACATATTCAATTGCTTGATGTTTTAGCGTATATACGAACTTTTGTGCAACATTATTGTCTATCAAAAATAACTACGGCAAACATGAGTGAGTAAACAAAATTTTATTTTCCGTTAATATTCGCGCACCATCTTCTTTTTTTCATGCGTTCGCGTTTACCGAGAATTAAATCAAGAGCAAGAGCGAACAAAGAGGCAACAATGCGCATTAAAGCATCAAGGACGCATGGGGCAAAAAAAACGCGTGCGTGTATGGAAGTCATTCCGCCGGATGCAGAGCACAAAACGCACAACGGGCCGAGGTGTGCGAGCTTGCGATGCTTGCGCGCCACGACGACGACGACTCGATTGTTCGTAGCCCCGCTCGTTATGAGCGCACAAACACACGCGGCGCAAGACTCGGCGCTTGCTGAATGCGCGGCTGAATGTGCTATATACGTACAAGCAAATCAACAAATGCCTCGAAACTTGGAAGGAACTTTTGCTAATTCTCATGGCGTCGCGCAGCCCCTAGAGCAAAGCACTTATTTAGGCGAGAAACCCATAATTTTCTTAACGAACAACCGTGAAAGTAAGCTCCCTTTTTTCTCTCGCGCCTCTTTTTTTTTCTACCCCGGCGCAGCTGATGCTTTCGCGAGTACGTGCAGCGACGATCATCTCGACGACGCTGGGAAATAATTACTCTTTTGCAAGTTACGTACGTATGCCGAGCCGCACAACACATGTGCCTCGAGTCGACTTTTATTTCTCATTTTCCCGCTTAAAAAAATCTCGTTAAGCCACCCAATCAATGCCAATTTAGGCCCTTATCCAGCTCCGCAACGTCATTATAACGTAGCAAAAGGAACAAACCTGACTGTCGATGTAATCTTGATGCTCGTCGTGTCCGCTGCCTCCGTGGCCGCCACCTCCGTGACCGCCGCCATGACCTTCGTCCCCGAGGGGCACCCCGTAGCTGTTAGTCAGCGAAGCTTGCGACTGTCCGTATCCCGCGTTGCCGCCGCCTAAGCTCGGAGGCCCGTAGGAATTGCTCGGTGTCACCGCTGGTACGCCGTACTGACTGCTCAAGATCGGGGGCTCGGCCAATGACAAGCCGCACATCAGGCCAAACGTCACTATGACCTGCGCAAAATCAGACGTGCATGATTGTTCATCGAATATGTATGCAGATTTAACGCCGATCATCGCGCTCCAGGCAATCCGTCACTGTGCGTATTCAGAGTCGCGCTCTAACTTCTCCTCCTTCTATAACCAAGGACGATGATATTCGATCGATTCTCGGGCGGTCGAATAATTTACGATCGTTATAAGTACAGATAAAAAACAAAATGAAACCGGAGCTTTTTGCGCCCAGCTGCATATTTATTTATTATATACATTTTTGTTAAAATAAAATGATGATTTATGCAGTTTATGTTCACTTTTATGGGTGTAAATGTAAGCCCGGTTTCACAATTCGAGGCCTATGGCTTCATCATTTCAGCCATATTGTGTCGGTAATAACACGATCCACAAACTACGGATATATTCTATATTCCATCGCGCGGCAAGAATGTAATAAAAACATCGGAGCCCGCGCAGAGATGGCACTCATTTATTTATTTATTTTCATTTTTTTTTGCAACACCTCGCACGAAAAATTTATGCAACTTTATCACGCATTCAAATTAGCCTTATTGAGTATCGATTAAATAAACATTGACGCTGCAGAAGCGCGCGCGCGACTTACATCGACAAATATGCACCATATTTCAAAATGCATAGTGCACTTCACATCTCTCGCGCAATACTTTCGAAGCGTAGAGCAAATAATAATATAACGCGCAGCCGTTACGAGAGCAAATATAGCATCGAGATCTATCGAATTGCTTTCAGACATTAGCATTCGCGTGCATAATATTACAATACGCATCGATTCGTTCGGGCTATATAATTCATATCTTCTTCAAACTCATTCGATATTACGCCACTCGAGGCTCTCTCTCTCTTGAAAGAGCAAAAAAAGGCGATATCGTCAATAGGATACAGCTGCTGTATAGAGTGCGCGAAGCGAGCTAATTAGAAAATAAATTGCTCGCTACGTAGCGGCAAATAATGTTTATTATACGTGGCATGCAGCTCGAGATATGCATTCGTTGCAATACAGGCCCGTGTAACGTGTCACACGCGTCTGCTTTCACGATTGTACGTATGTGTGACTGCTGAGCTTATATACATTATATTTGTATCGTTATAATATATAATATTCTATGCGAAGAAATCCTCCCGCTCTCGAGATTGGGATGCGAACGCGTAACCCTGTGTGCTGAATAGAACTTAATATCCCGCGCGATTCGCTAGGCGGAAACGTCGTTGTTTGCCGTGCGTGCGATATGCTCCTTTATGAATCAAGCATTTATAGCTTTTTTCCAATTCAACCGGCTGCGTGATCTCCGCAACGCATCTGATCGCTGCGCCGGAGTATCACGCGAAAAAAGTGCATCATCTTTCACCGGTGCTATATGTAATTCGCCTGGTTTTTGTTACGATTCGTTGTGTTACACATGTATAACGCGCGCGAGCTCGTTGCGCAACCTCGCAGCGATTTACTTTTCATTCTTGTACGAGCGAATTGCTTCTTTTCTCTGTCTCCCGTTCAGAGGCGAGCGATACACACGCGCATAACTAGCCATACTCGCGCTTACGATCGAGACACTGGTAATTACGGATCGCGCGCTATACAGCTATTTAATCGCTGCAAAGACACGGAGATAAAATCGATTATTTGCCATTGAATCGCGCCGCTGTCTCTGTTTGCTCTACAATATTATATTTTCTATTTCCGATGATTCTCGTGTTTCTTTATTGCGCGCGGCCAGATCGCGTTGCTGTTTAACTCCCTCCGCGCGTACAATACAGCTTGTTTATATATACGTAAAGATTAGCCAGCAGCGGCGGTAATTACTCATTTTTTTTTATCGGGCAAAGAAAAGCAATTGGCTGTTTCGGAGCCGCGGCCAAATCCGAAAAGTTAAGCCATCGCATCTATAAAATGTATGAATTCAGTCAACTATATAACGATGAGATTAAACGTGCACGCTGCTGCACTCGTATCCTACGCGCGCATGCATATACATACATATACATGCATATCGGGGGGCATTCATGCACGCGCGTGTATATAGGTACTCGCAGCTATAGAGTGGAGCTCGCTCGCTAGTGGCAGCCCCGACGAATTCGAATCAAAGGCTCCGTTCGACTGAAAACACCTCACTTTCTGACTCTATTCGACTATATGAGCAGGAACAATAAGCCCAGCTCTGGCGCACTGCAATATACACAAGCTCGACCGTACTAATCTACGTGTCACACGTCGCGTCAGCTCAAGAAATTTTACATTTATTTTTTATTCGCCCACGTCAAAATTATTTAATGAATTTATCAATATCAGCCGGGCACTCGATGAAAAATTATTACCGCCCCATGCATGTAGGTCAATTTTCGATAATCCACCTCTCTATATATCTCACTCTCTCTCTCTCTAACGGGGCGCGCTTTAATACACGCGCGTTTATGGGAGCTTGCAAATCCCATTGAACATTAGATCTTGTCTATTTAAATGCACGCCCGTGCGTACGTTTACGAATTTCAATGTGCAATCATTACGCCTGCCTCTCGACTCTGTGATTAAAGACTAGTTTCCATTGAATTTCATATAGTATAGCGACGTAGCAGCGAATTGATTAAAAAAAAAACGGAATAGCTCGTGCGTGCGACGAGAGCATCATTGGTGTCGGTTTATTGGGAAATGAAAAGGAATCGATGCTTTCCGTGTCTTTAAATTCATATTATTTCCGTGCTAGCTCTTTGGCTCTCGGTCTTTCTCTGCATATACAATACAATAGACACAAGAGCAGAAGGATTCCAATGTCTTTCTTTTCCCGATAGACAGACAGACAGACAGAGACAGAAAGAAAGAGCTACAGGCTCGAAAACAGTCCAGCCACGCGGATATTGAAATTCGCGCGCGTGTATGTGTGTGTGTGCTCGCGCTCGGGGAGTACCGACTGACTGTGTACCCATAAGAAAGAAAACAAAAGCTTGAGAGTCATTTTTTTACGAATGCAGTGCGTGCGATAATGAAAAAACAGCTTAAGCTCGAATCTTGGGTACACGTGTTTGTTTGGCCAGCTACTAGATATCTCGCGCAGAACGAAAGCTCATCAAATAGATACGAGCAAAAACGATCAGCCGTGCGCGTCTGTTACACCTTGCATTGCGGATATGAAAGATCCCACAGTAGCCCACGCGGATATTAAGTCGAGACAATAATGAAACCGAATGTTTCGCTCGATCGTACCTGGATATTAAAGTCCGGCAAAGTTTCATCCCAAAGAGAGGGAGAGAAAACTTTTCCGAGTAAGTTTCGAGGAGCAAAGACAAAGCCCGAACAATTTATGCGTATTTAAATATAAAACCCATCTCGAGCTTATGAGTTTCACCAGTATATTTATAAAATATTAAACAGGCCACGCGGCAGTCGATGCGTTGTGAGACATGTTACGATTACGCGCGTGCATTTGCAGGATACGAAACTGAATGCATGAATAGATGGAATTTAGATACTATCCGCACGTGATGCTACAGCCAGTAACGCGTTGCTGTATGCGTGTGTGTATGATACTGGGCCACTACATATCACGTCTGGCAGCGAGAGAAAGCGAGAGATTTAGAAAGATACAGGTAATCCGCCCTATATGCTTGAACATCCCTGACTGGCTCCGACTGGGGCCCTGCCTGCAGCCGCCGGTACGCTCGCAGATTAAGCTGGCATACTCAATGACTTAAGCTTGCTGGCTGTACGAGCTACCCGGCTGCTGCCGCTGCTGCTGCTGCTGCGCCGTATACTCGATCTGCCATTGTGCGCAGCCCCCTGTACTTTATAGCCTGGCCAGCTTTCGTAGTAATTAATTTTGCAATTTCGAATGTAGAATTTACGCCGGAATAATTGAACGCTCGGAAAATTAATTTGTTAATCAACGACACAATCGATGCTGGCCCAAGCAAAGGTGCAGCGTAGCTTTTTGGCACAACTTATACACATTGTACGATACCTTGTCTGATGTACGAACTAGCGATGCTTGATTTAAACGCTGCGATACTTAGCCGACTTTCCGCAGAGGCGAAAAAGCTCGAGACGAATTTCTGATACACACAGTACTCGATGCCAAGATTCTTGATGCTGGACGAATAAAACAGAGCACTCGCGAGAAAAAAAAACTGAACAGCGCGTCGACCACATTATTTCGTTTTTCGAATTTTACCTTTGCTATAGCCTTGTCCATAGCTGCGGACGATTAGATCTCTGCTGAATGTACAAACGGCAGCTGCTGCTGGCGATCTATAATCTGAGATACTACTCGGGGCGAGAGCGAGACTCGACAAGAAGAGAGAGAGAAGAGGAGAAAAAAAAGAGCGAAAAAATCCGTTGAACTGTGCTCTCTGGTCAGGTTGAACTGTTCAAGTGCAGTGATGCCCGAGGCACTGATGTACTAGTCTTATATATGCTCGAGAGTCGCTTTGAGCAGCAGCAGCAGCGGAGGCAAGCAGCAGTCGAGTCGCGGTGTGGTGGTGTGCGCGCTCACTTCCTGTGGTTTCGCATAAGCGCGTATATACCTCCAGCAGCAGCAGCAGCAGGAGAAAGAAAAGTGGAGGAAAGCATACAAATAGATTATTCGCTATCGGATGATCGATCTCTCGTGCTCCTCTCTCAAAGATTATGATGGTAGGGGGAGGTACCGTGTATTAACTTTCGACACGTTCGGTTTCAGCAAATCGACCATTTGTCCCTCTCGCTGAAGCAACACTTTTTTCGAGCCTTTTGTTCCATGTGTGTTTGTTGTGGGCTTTGTTGTCTCAAGGCGGTCGAGGTATACAATACAACGAAGTTCAATCGACTAGTTTCGCGTATCGATCATAAGGTGTTGATTAGTCACAAACAAAAAAGAAGAAGAATTCGACGCACGTGTCATGCAAATATTTTGTTCTTCAATAGTATTACGCAAGGATCGATGATCGTTACGCGTCCTATTAAAACGTTTTGACAATATAACGAGTTCAGATGAAAAGTGGACCCGGAAAAATTATTTGCTTCACTCGAAAATTGAAAGTCCGTCGGTTAGTCTGATTTAATTTAATATTCTTTAAGCATTTTCATCTACGCAAAACTGAATTATATCAAAGCAGCATCAATCAAAAAATCATTAGTATTTAAGAGGCAAATTGGACGCTGTGCGAAATACCAGCGCATTAAAATCGTATTCGAAAAAATATATGCACGCATATATTCGCGCCTACACTCGAGCCGTTAGACATTAAGCAGAGCGGCTAGCTGACAGCGCAATCGTTCATTTGCAAAATCGCAGGTAAACCTTAGCATCATCATCGCGGAGCGAGCTGCGCCAGTTGACGCACTGCTCTGGCATGGCGAAATCGTTACGACTGCGAAAAATTTTGACTGCCTAGCCCCCCCCGTTGTATACGCGTCGGGATGCCAATTTTTCCTCGCACGTCTTTCGGAAAAAATGCGCGCGCGGCCCCCGTTACCGCTGCTCGAGTGTGCATCGATTTCTCCTGCAGCTTTGATGTGCGTGAGTTCGTGCGATGTGAGGCAACGCTCACCCGGGGCACGTGCGAGCTAGGCGCAAAAAAAGAAGCTCTCGAGCGCGCATACCTCGCGGTGTTTCCGGCTCTGCGCCGTTTGATGCTCGCACCCGCGTGATATGATTCGATCCCGCGCGAGCATGACTATAGCAGTAGCTTCGTACGGCGGTGGCAGCGGCTCGAGCAGGAGCGCGCGAGAGATAGAGAGAAAGCATAGCGAGAGGCTAGCCTGGCGCAAAGCAAGCGATTACCTCATCTCGTGGGATAATCCAGGCTACTCGCGTTCAACGCTTGGCTGCTCACTGACGCTGCGCCGCCACTGCCGCCGACGCTTGGCTAATTAGGTAATTGAGACTTTGTTAGCCACGCGCAAGCAGCCTTTGTATGCGTAAATTTGGGCCTGCCTGTCTTTTTTCGCACTCGCCGCGAGTCCTTTTTTTCGTAGCTCTGCCGGGCACGGCTATGAACCAGATGAATTTTTACGAGAAAAATTCCGAGTGTCAGTGTATGCCTTTTATTTCGCGCGCGCAGAAAGTAGGTCGCGCGCGACTGCACGATGCAAATCATGTAGGTCCATTGCACGCTTATGTACTTATAGGTATATAGGTTGCTCAGCTGCTCTTACCGATGCTGTTACATTTGCATTGGGAAATTAATGATTATAGGGCTGCGATGACCCATGTTATTATGTTAAGCTATTATATAGTTTATCTCGTCCATGCAACTATGGAAAAAGATCGTGTGAAATTCGACATCGAGATTTTTATTCGTGCATGCCTTGTCTTGTATAGTTATTTTACATAAAACGAGGAGAAAAAATGCATTACTTATAGCTCGTGCGGCTGCGTCCATATTTCGTGTTAATTTATTGTTGGACACGTTTTTCTTTTCATTTGCAACGCGAACAACTATAAAGCGCGATGTTGTACGCACCAGCGTAAGAAACAATAGCTGTGAAATAAATAATTATGATGATCAAAAGTTCTCTCTGTCGCACGCGAGCTTCATTATTCTAATTTTCACGCAACATTTTGTCGGGAAATTATAACGCGCTGCTTGCCTGTGGAGCGAGTGACAATTATAACTTACATTATGAGATGCGAGCACAATTCTCATTGATGCCCAATACATTTTAATGGCTGCGCGAAACATTTCATCATGTTGATTGGACTTTTGTGAAAAATTTCATTTTTATCACTTTGAGAAAATTTCAAAATTAAATTGACAGAGATGACTGGTTGTTAGCAGACAGCTTAACCTTTTCTTCTAGAAATGATGCATCAAGGTCGCGTCACTTTCTCACCGATCATCTCGTTGTATTGTAAAGCATCGAAACAAAATCAACGGGTTTTGTGACAAACAAAGCAAACAGTCGTGACCATTGTAAATCTATATTGGGCATAAAAACACGTCAAGTCACACGCTCGGTGTGAGTTTCATACCTATACATGTGCGGATCGTCGCAGTGCATCATAGCTCAGTCGAAGACCATAACCTTGAGGAAAAAAATTCCTATGTGCCTAGAAAGCAGTCTCGAGATAATAAAAAATATTCACTGCCCTGGTTTTTTTGTCCTCGTTGTGAGATTCATTGTAAGACGAAACCCGCTGACGTTGCGAGGAAATAAAAAAAATTTCTCGCGCAGGGCTCGAAGTTATGTAGCAATGGAAGGACAATTTGCTTCTTGATTTTTAACGCGCTCGTGAAGTTGCGTATCATTCGTGTACTCCTACGGGCGGCTAGTCGTTTGTCAAAACGCATCAACGACTTGGTTTACTTGGGTATAACAGCGGCAGCGCAAGCAACAACTACAACGTCAGCTGCAACAAGCAGTGCGAACAAACAAGCAGCAGTGCGAAGCGCCGCGCGCAATTATCAAGCAAATAGGGCCAAATTTAAATGAGATCGTTATCGCACTCGTTCGTTGCGGGCCTTCTTGAAGACGCATACCTTACGCGCGCGCATGTGAAATAAGGCACACACTCGCTTGCTCGAGTGCGCGAGCAAGCAAGCTTCTTTTTCCTCTTAATTAGAGAGACAAAAGGCTTTCACTTTTTTCGACTCGTCGTTGCACTGCTCTCGAGCCCGTGTGGTTTGTGCCTCGTGTGCTTGTACGTCTATGCGGATGCACACGGCTACGCTCTTGCTGCTGCTGCTGCTGCTGCTGCTCTCTTATGAGCGAATAGTAGTGCCAGCTATTACGTGCCGTGAGGTAATAATTAAATTCGCAATCGGCCGAACGGGCCTCGCGCTGAGGGCTGTGCAAGATTTTCGCCCGACGATATCAAGGGGCCGTGAAGACGAAAAAATTCGAGTGCAGTTGCGGAGCGCCAAAGCAAATTTTGACGTTGCGCAAAATTTTTACACAAACTAGAGCTGGGTGTGCGATCTCAATTAATTGCCAACGATCGCTGCACGCATACACGGAGTGAGAGCGAGAGATGTGCAATAATAATCGATCGAGTGCCACAGAGAGTCTCGCGTTCCTTACTGTAATCTGCTTGATTATTTTTAAATTTTACATAAATTATATTTTATTATCACTTTAACATTTTTTGTCCTGAACAAAGTTGCGTGAAAATTGTTTTTGAACGAACAGGTCGAATGGCGCAATGTATGCATAAAAAAGATTTTCATAAAAGGGCTATTTCAATCTTGCTACGAATAGAACAAAATGATTGATACTGCCGTGTAATTATTATTCCAGTAGATTGAAAAGCAGTTAAGTAACTAGAAATTTCGTAATGAATATTTTTTGCATTTACTCTAGAATTTGAAAAAAATAATCGAGATTCCCTTTGAAACCTGAAGAAACTAACCAACCCCTGAAGAAACTAAAAACAATGACTGCACTATAGGTCGTTTTTAGCGTTATCTAATTGATTATATCACTCGTTACATCTTGTCTCAATGAAAATACTCGACAATCAAATGCCTGAACGTCTCGAAATGTAAAGAATCCGGTTTTCTCGTTGTCAGCCAATTCAACTATGTGATTCTAGTATAGAACTAAACAAAGATTTTAATAAGTAACCAGTGCAAATGACGAGGTTTCGGAGTACTAGCGTCCAAACGCAGTTGGGTACTCGAGCACAAAGATTTCAACGAGATTGCAGGCGAAATTGCAGTCGGTTACAGAGGCACAAATCGACCACTCGTACAACATACGTATGAGTAGTTGGAACTGCTGTACGCGCTAGTTCTTATTAATATTCGTCCTATCGGTCTCGTACAAGCTCATACAGACTCGCCTTTTCAATCAAGTCAGTTGTTTCGTCTGTCAATAAATAAAACTCAATTGTGCACACACATACGCACGTGCTAGTATACAAGGTAGTTCACAAAAGTCCGGCATAGTTAACAAAGGCCTCGCGCGCACTCGGTAATACACGAGCTCACCTTTTGTTTTCCAATTCATGTCAGTATGTGTGTAGGGTTACATGATACATAAGACTCAATAGCAAATCCCGGCTCGGCGAGTCGCGAAAATCTGTTATATCCCGGAGGAAAACTAGCCTCAGCAGGGTTATGCCGAGTAAACCTTTAAGCGCAAGTTTCCCGTCAATTAAAACTTTGTCCAGGTGTGGCAGTTCCCCGCGACCTTTTACAAATCGCGCGCGCTCGCGCAAGTTTGTGCGCGAGAGTCTGTAAATGCACTCACACGTATAGAGACGCGTAAAGAGCCAACCGAGCCGGGGCTACCTCGTGAGAGTTGAAAGCCCCGACGAAAGAGGAGCTGCAGCAGCT